ATAGATGATATAGAGGAGCAGGCTGGCAAGATGCTGCACAGTAGTGTTTTTGTGAGATGTGGTCCTGATTTGAAGGGAGGAAGGCAGACATCTCAGCATTCCAAAATCTGTTCTTTCTGGCAAGTAGCACCCCACCCCCAGTGTGAAAGGGATAGTATCCCCATTGTCTTAGATGACTTGTCTTTTCCTATGGTTCTCACTTGCTTATCCATCTGAATCAGGATCACAGGTGGAGGTCCCTAGAGACAGATGATGTGAAGTTACTATTGAGCACATGCTGCTCTGCCAGCTTTGCAAGAGGCACATGAATTCCTGTAAAACCTTACAGGGAAAGTACCAAATCAGACAACGATCATCCCCTGATGCATTGCAATTGCTCCAGATGGGATGGCTGATGTTCCAACACATGCTTGTCTCCTAGGAACTAGGGCAACGGTGAACGTGCTTTACTATGTTTCTATTATGAATGTTATATGTATTGATTCATTGTGTTGCTCTTTGGCCCCTAAAGGTAAGCAGGTGTAACTGTCTCTATAGTCAGAAGGGAAGTTGAGACTCAGATTCAGTAATCTTTTGGGTCAACATGTCTCTAAATGGAAGGACTTATGTATAAGGCTTCCTTCTACCTCTTAAGGGTGTAGCACTCTGAACTAGATGTTAGGATTCACCAGAGATCCAGAGGTGTGAATTTACTTTACTACTGGAGTCACTATAGGTTTATCCCTTTTTTTTAAAGAATTCTATTTCTTTGTTTTTTTTTTTTTTGTTTGTTTTGTTTTGTTTTGTTTTTGGAGATAGGGTTTCTCTGTGTAGCTTTGTGCCTTTCTTGGAACTCACTTTGTAGCCCAGGCTGGCCTCGAACTCACAGAGATCCACCTACCTCTGCCTCCCAAGTGCTGAGATTAAAGGTGTGCGCCACCACCACCCGGCAAGAATCCTATTTCTTTTGACATTTTTTTCTTCACATTCTTTTTGTTTGTTTGTATTCTGTTTTGTTGTGTTATTTTGAGTCTATATATGTATATATCAACCTAGCCTCAAACTCTTTATCCTCCTGCCTCAGCATCCCACATACTGGGATTACAGTCATATACCACCACACACAGAAGCCAGTTTTCTTACTGGAACAAATAAAGCTATGTTGTCCTCATCACACTGAGATCCATCAGTTTTCAGAGTAAAGTACTGATAACTCTTATGAAATTTTCTTTCCCTGGAGTTCCAGAAAAGCTGCTCATAGAAGGGCATTCATGAACTAGAGGCTTTCTCATTCCCTCTTCAACCTTGTCTAGGCTGAAGGACATTGGGAAATGGGCAGTAGGTCCTCAGGAGAGCAGCATGGAGCTCAGGGAGGGCTGCAGGATGGAGTGGAGAAGCCCTGACCTGTACCAGGAGAAAGTCAGTAATCAAATGCTGTGAGAGTGGGAGTGTAATGTTTCTCACTGAACTTGATGAAACCCTCTGTAAGTCAAGCACCATGAGCTGTTCCCACGGTGGTTGTAGACAGGGCAGTTACTCCTGGGAAAAGACTGTGACTCTGGAACATGTTGAGACCCCATCAAGTCATTGAGTCTCTCTCACTGTCATTCTGTGGACTCTGTGAGGCTGTGTGATACTCTTTGTCCTGGCCATGAATCGACCTTTGGAAGGCTCTTGTTTGGAAACTGGAGAATGTTAGAGTGAGGAGCATATGATGAAATACCATGGAACATGATCCTCTATCAATAATAACAGGATTAGTGAGCAGATTTGAATCACTTGGCTCTGTGTCCCCAACAATCAAATACCTGAAGCCAAGTGAACTTTACTCCCCCTTTCATTCTGCTGAATTATCCCCCTAATAAGAACATGCAATACTCACGTTCTAAATAGTAAGAAGGACGGAGTGGTCGCATTTCCAACAGATTTTATAATGGAAAGGTTGGAGCTTAGGAGCTCTACATCTTAAGTGACACTCTTAAAGTAGATTGTTATTTTAAATCTAAGTACACATATTTTTAAAAAAATAATCTGTTGGTAAAGACAAGGAGATTGTTTCAAACTGCACAACATCAAAACTTTACCAAAAGAAATGTAATGTTTTATAACAGTCTTTGGGTCTGTGGGGGAAGGGAGTTTCCCCAAGTCCAGTGCTGGAGCCTCTGGTCTCAGTGACTCCTGGGTATTTAGTTTACTCTCATGACCTCACTGGCTCCATCTATCCCAGGACACACTGCTTTTTTATTCACTGTTCCTTTGCTGTGTTCTACTTCCAAGAAGCCTGAGATGGGGGGGGGGGGAACACATCAAATTTCCTTTATGGACTCAGCAGGATCATTCACAATGACCGAATGAGCATATACATGTGCATATGTCCACACATACAAGTTACACACACTGAACTGAAAACACATCCATGTCCTTAACCTTTTTTGCAGTGACACTTCCTATCCTTTTCTATTTCATTTTTTTAAAAAAGTGGATTCCATAACCTACCTAGAGATTCCACCATATTTTGAAATTAATACCACAACTAATATAACCTAGACCTTGGTTTTGAACAGAAGAGTGAATACTGGAAAGGTGCTTCATCTTGAGCAGGCTCCTCTGGAAACTTCTGTCTGTACAGCCGTACACTGGAAAGAAATTTTATAAGTCCCAGTAGGTGATTTTATTTTATTAGGATAAAATGAAGATGAACTGATGAGGGTGCCCAGAGTGGCAGACAAGGACACCCCTGAACTTGGCTGTAAAATGAATTGTATTGAACTTGTATTCTGTAAAATGAATTCAGCAATACTCCTTTTTCTTGACTTCACATAGAAATGCAAACATAGAAAAGATAGAAAAAAAACACAAAGATAGAAAAATCACATCCCAAAGAGGCAAGGAATTGGCATTCTATGTGGTGGGCAGAATATGACTGTTTCAGAGGGCAGCTGAGTTATTCTCAGCACACTCCCTCCGTTTGGTACAACAGACCCTTTGAAGCCTGACCTCTGCTTTTGATCAAACCCAGCCTAACAGCCCAAGGGCTGAACAGTGCCTGCTGCCCCGGTCATGCTACTGGCCATGTCCTCTGGGTTTGATACAATCAGTTATAAGACTTCACGCATAAGGATACAGATCCTTCTTGTTTTTATTCCTCATGTGATTTTTCGCTTTTGTCTTTCACTGGTTTGGTGTGGTTGTGAACCAATCTTCAACGTTATCTGATAGCCAGTTTCCTTAACAGAAAAATGGAGACATAGCCAGTTCCTATGGTCATGTGACTATTACAGGCAATGTGTTAGAAGAGATCTGGGCTGGGGCTGTAGCTCAAGGATACAGAGCTTCCCAAGCATAGGCAAAGCCCTGGGTTAGACCTTCA